TCCTCAATAATTAGAGAGGGATTACTGTATATGCACACTTGAGTGAGATAAAAAATAAATCAGCAAGAATTCGAGTAATAAAATAGCTTTCTCAGGTAATAGAGTGTTCTATAAAGAATACTAGGAATACCTAATAAAAATTATTTTTATGCTCGAAAGAAGGAAGTGATCGTCTGATTCGAATGTCCATAACGCCCTGCGCCAATGATCCTCCTCTTTGGTTCTAGCATGGTCTTTGCGTTCCTCGTCGTCGTCTATGTCACGTTCGTCGATGTTCCAGCGCGGTCGTCGAAAGGGAACGCAGAAAGAGCCGGTACCAGATGCCGCAGATACGCGGTGCGTTTCTTTTCCCGCGTTTTGCCGATCCCGCCTCTCTATGCCTTTCCGCCGGCGTCTCAGGCTGACGTGGAGTTAATAAAGTTCCGCTCGTTCTACGAGACGCGTCCGCTAAAGAAACAGCTAAATGAAGCTGTACGTGGAATGAAGCATATTTTAATGTCTTACTCCCCACCCGCCCCCTCTCTACACCCCACTCCACGCCCCGATAATGTACGTGCCCGGTGTGTAAATATGATGAACTTGGTAATGCGCCGTGGAAACCAGTTTCGAGGATGAACGCGCGCGCTCAGCGGTCAGCAGCTGATTGTGAATCAAGACGCGTTTCCCCGGTTCGACCAAGAAGTGGCGAAAGAACCATCGGTACAGGAACGATCCCAGATGATTTTTTCCCGTCATCGAAACCCGGAGACGGAGTAATGGCGGACAAAATGCAGTTACGTGGACAAGAACTGTGTCCGAGTATGTCAGGCTTCTTTGATTAAAAGACCTGGCAGAAGAGGACGTAAACAGTTGATACTCGCCGTTGACAAGCGATCGTTCTCGTGCAGCGCGCGTCGGTTACCCCCTGAAACGCCACACGACGTGGCAAAAAAGAAGGGGAATTAATTTGTGAGCGGATACGCGAGTCTGTACCGCTCCGAAGGACGAGCGCGGTTTAATGGTATCGGTAGAGGAGCAGGTTAGGGCTGTTGCTAATCCTATAATTCCGTGTAATTGCTGTTATACGGCTTTGCCTAATGAAGGGCAAAAAATTGGGACGCTGTCGCTGCGAGGAGCGGAGAACCAGTTTCGCCGGCGATCCTCTTTTACGCGTATTGCGTGCGATAACCAACGCCCGGCGTGTTATGCGAATCTGCATTCTACGACGCTCCCTGGTTCGTGGTTTTCTTACCCGAATGCTGGCAAAAGCGAACACAATTTCAGAACGTGCACCGGACAATTTATGCGCGAGCAACGACTGGCAGGGATTACTCGCCAGGCGATCTAAGGCGTAGGAATTCAACAAGATGAATTTCAAGTACCGCGGCCGGCAAAAATGTTGAGCCCAACGTGTCCCAGCCTCGCGTGGACGTAGATACATGCGAGTGGTTTTACGCTTGACTACGTTTCGTTTGAGACTGCCAACCGTGAAAAGGACGAGCGCGACTGCAACGGTTTCCCGATTAAGGATATTCGGTCGGACGACGAAAAAGAATTCGCTGTTCGTCGGAGTGATTTCGCAAGATAACGACTCCACGGGTTCGGAATTATTAATTAACCGACGGACGGTACACGAGAAACAATTTCTTTCTATAATCCATTTAAGATAAAACGAAACTCGCCGAGTATCGAAGTAAAAAGCGATTTCCGTCTTTGTCGAGGTTGAATATTAACGCGAAGCAACGACTCGCGTAGCTTCCGTCGTAAAGTAGGATCAGAAGGGGATAAAAAGTCTTCAGTCTCCGGTCTTCTACGTCAGATAATCGCACGGAGTTGCTGATTATATTTCTTGTTATTTTCCAAGCGCCTAACTCGATGAAAAGGTTCGGGGGGGGAAAAATGCGATATCTCAGAGCCCCGTGAGATGCAAATTTCACCCTCTTAACATCGGCGGCTTGATGGTACTTTAATTTGCCTCCTGCGCTAGATGAAAACCATGGAAATTGTGTGACGTTGCGTTGTATTCAGTGGCGGCATCATTCATGTACACGCTAATGAAAAAGAAAAAAAAAGGGAAACAAGTCGGACATAGACGACGGCTTATGGCGGCGAAGCACGGGAGTCAACTCCGGCAACGGTGAATTCATCACCAGAAATACGCAAAAAACTATAAGCTGCTATATTCCATGGATGGTATTCGGCAGAGCTGTTGACGTCGAAGTATTATCTTAATGATGAATAATGGCGCAAAATGATTCCTCGCGTGACTCGAAGATTGGACGGAAGAATAGAATCGTTGCTTACATTGAATATTCTCACGGCTCGTGAAATTTTTAATAATTATTCATATTTTACCCAGCGCCTCGACGAACGCGAGATACATCAGAAAAAGCATTGTATTACCTTCCAATTTAAACAGATTACGTTTTTCAGTTACCCGGCTACATAGTGTTCGATTTGTTGCTTCGAGGACGAACGTACCCTGTGCCTCGGAAGTTTCGATGTTCGAGATTCTTTTTTAATTGAAATTACAAAGGCATTTTTCTGTCCTTTAATAATCATCGACGCGTAATAGAGTTCAGACGCGTGCATTTAGAAAGTACGACTTTGTGGCCTAGTTTCTCCAAAATTAGGAACACATGCGAAACTTGTCGAACCGTTATGAATATCTAGTGTACTCCTTCATGCTTCATTGCATTTGCAATTTATTTCACAACTAAGAACTCGATAAGGAGGAGACACGACTAGGTAAATGAACTTACTAGGAAAATTCTAAAATAATTCTGGGTCACGTTTCTTTGTTTCACATTCCTTCTTTGAATAATTACTAAAAAATTAAAGATGAAATATAATAGAAACTATTTTGCAATACAAAAGATTTTGCGGTCTTAGGCGCGAAGCAATCGTATCTGTATACAGGGTGTTCGGCCACCTCTAGGAAAAATTTTAATGAGCGATAGTAGAGGCCAAAATAAGACAAAAATCAAGAATACCAATTTGTTGGTGGAAGCTTCGTTAAAAAGTTATTAACGTTTAAAGTGCCGCTCTTACTGAATTTTTTTCTCGAAAATGCGCAAGATTTCGGAGGTATGTCTATTCACCAAAAATGACTGTAATTGAACCCTACAACCGAAAATAATTTTTCCACAACGATTTGCAATTTTTTAATTTTCTCGAATAATTTCACACCTTCTCTATTTTTTTCTCGAAAGTGGGCAGGATTTCGTGGGTATGTCTAATGACAAAAACTGATTGTAATTGACCCCCGCAACCGAAAATAATTTTTCCACAACGATTTGCAATTTTTTTTCTCCGTTGAAAAATTTAGGCACCTAATTGGATTTTCAGTAAGGAATCTTTTTCTCGAAAGTGCGTACGATTTCGGAGGTATGTGTAATGATAAAAAATGATTGTAATTGATCCCCGCAACCGAAAATAATTTTTTTAAAACGATTTGAAAAATTTTTTTTCGCCGAAAAATTTCAGCACTTACTCGATTTTTTTTCTCGAAAGTAGATAGGATTTCGGAGGTATGTGTACTCACCAAAAATGATTGTAGTTGGCCCCCGCAACCGAAAATAATTTTTCCAGAACGATTTGAAATTTTTGAATTTAATTGTTAATAACTTTTTAACGAAGCTTCCATCAACAAATTAGTATTCTTGATTTTCGTCTTATTTTGGCCTCTACTATCGCTCATTAAAATTTTTGCTAGAGGTGGCCGAACACCCTGTATAGGAATAGTACGATTTACGTTTCGACTGTGGTAGTGGCATTCTCCAAAATTTATCGAACATACTACAAGAAGGAATTGTACATTAAAAAGATATATATGCTTAATATATGGCTTATGTCTGCAGGTATAAATTACTTCTACCCAGGCGAATTTGTAGCAGTTGCTTTCGAGTGTATGTTCCTTTCTCCACTTTATCAGTGAAATATAGCACTTCCAACTTCAGGGTATAATTAACAACTATATAGATAATATCAATGTTCAAAATCCTGAACTTTAAATTTAAAAAATTCTAGACAGGTAGCTTCTCCTTTTTCACTGATCTGGTGAATGTAATTAAACAGGTATACAATTTTATATAGAGTGTAAAGTACAGCCCAAATGAAAAATGAACATGAAGGAAGCACACAAAGCAGGGTGAAAAGGTGCGGTTCTGTTTTGCAATCTAACCCAGAGTTGGCATCCTCTGGATCTGAGGAATGTTCCCCCAAAGTTTAGCCTTGCCTTCCAGTTACACTCTGTGTGACTGATAGGTATGCCACAAATCTCAACATGTCTGAAATCGTTTGAGGACGTTTCGTCGAACGATTTGATGCAGGGGTATCAATTTCAAACGTGAATGGTACCAAAGCTTGTCACAGTTCCATCACTGGAATGATTCAGATACTGGAGTTCCCAATAATTCCAGAAGAACTAAATCCCTCAAACTTATTTTTACTAATAGGCGTTAGTTATCAATATATTCCTGCAATAGGATGACTAATATTTTAAAAAAAATCGATAGGAGTGAGATGCCTAAATTTTTTGGAAAAAAAAATTTCATATCGTTTTGAAAAAATTATTTTTAGCTACGGGGGCCAATTATAATCATTTTTGGTCAACAAACATACCCCCGAAATCCTACACAGTTTCGAGAAAAAAATTCGAGTATGTGTCCAAATTTTTCGGCAAAAATGAAGAGATTCAAATCATTCTAGAAAAATTATTTTTGGCTGCGGGGGTCAATGACAATTATTTTTGGTCATTACACATACCCCCGAAATCCTACGCACTTTTGAGAAAAAAATTGTTTACCGCGAATATAATGTGTGGTCAGAGATTTGTGATTATATTTCTTGTTTTTATCACGACATATGTAGATATAGTCCAGTTATCTGGCACATGAACTACACTCTTCTGTCAAATTTTATTCGAATTAAACAAAGATGGGGTTCGTAATGAAATCTCAAACCCACATATTTCGAACGTTACACTAATAATTGACAAGCATCGTTTCTTGGTGTTTCAGATTCTGCTTTCTCACTTCGACGCCTTCAAATTCCCAAGCTCTGAGGTAGTACAGTTCCGCGCGCTGGTGACGCCTTGCATGCCGACTTGCGAGCCGGTGCAGTGCGACGAGGAGGAGGCCACCGGCGAGCTGCGATCCGTGATTTCCTTTGGTAAACGTCGTCGTCGTCGTTCGTCCGGACCCTCATCCCAGACTCGCGAGGACCTGCTTCTGGTACAGTCGATCCAGATCACGGACAAGTTCGGATTCGAGCACGACAGCAAGGCGTCGAACGCTAGCTCGGCTACCAGGGACACCGTTTTCGTTGAGAGCGAAGACATATCGTCCACGATGGGCGTTTGCATCAACCTGGGCGAGGCGATCGTCGCTGGTACCATCTTCCTCGTCGCTCAGATCGCCATCATCGCGGCGTGGACCATCACCTGGCAGAGACGCCGACAGATGCTCAAGCATCAAGAAGCTCTATCGGTTTCGGTTTCCGTTCCTGGAATGCATTCCGTTCCGGGTCGCACCGACAGCCTCTGTAAGTTGTACGACGCCGGATATTCAGCGCGCCGTTTTTGAATAGCCTTCGTTTCCTGTCCCCGTCCCTCAATCACGTCTTCCTACGCTGCCAACGTTACGAACCTCCGGCTAACTTCGTAGAGATCTCCGCGAGCGACTATGGCGTCGATAATCTTTGCTTCATTGGAACTTTCTCGGCCGAGTCGCTCGCGATCCCATTCTCGTCAAACGATCTGGAGGATCACGGAATCAAAAATCTCAAGAACATCGATGAGGGACAAAAAAATACGTTGGAGGGGATCACTCGATAACCTTGGCTTTCAGGTGCAGCCATCGTTGCCTTTCGATCGGGAATCGTGCAAATCGGTTCGATACATAGGACAGATAGAGTAATTTTAAAGATATCGAACTGAGAAAGTATTTCTGGATGGAAATTGTCTCTCTCGTCCGTGACACTTCGCGCTTTCTTTACCTTATAGGAATTATTCCGCGCGCGATCCCCTTTCTATGATCAACAGGCCTTCGTTGCTTCGATTAAATAGTCTTAAAAGTCATGCACTGCATCATCCAAGAGTAAAAGAAGCAACAGTAACTTCAAACGTCGAGCGACCGGGCTCCCGCGATCGCCGATTCCTTCTAAACGATCTCCGTTCAGAGCTGGCGGCCATAAAAACGTTCGTTTTGGATTTCGTTGGATTTCGCTGTAGACTTCGGGGGCCGAGCGTACTTTAAAATCGAACTTTCAAAGAGCCGAACGAACAACCGGAGGAGAAGCTAACGACGCCGTAGCAGCTAGAAGCAATTAGGCGATCAAAGAGCAGGTCCGATCGATTATCCTCCAGCTCCGTCATCTTTCATTCATAATAGCGCATAATCTTCCGCGTTTCTTGCGACGTTTTCTTCCTCTTCTTGCTCTCTTCCCCCCGTCCATCTCATTCCCGTTTTTCCTGTCCGTTCATACGCGAAACGAGACAGGACAAAGCGAAACAAGCCGAAGCGGGACGAGGCGTGGCGTGGCTCCAAAGGCGATAGAGGTCGACGTGTACTTGCTACGTAGGATAGGGCACTGGTACGGACTCTAATTAGCATTGGGAATCGAGCATGATTATGCAGATGCTCCAAGTAGGATATCAACAGGAGGAATGGCGGACTGGGCGGGCAGGAAGGGTCAAGGGAGACGGAACGGTCGGGAACGGAACGACTGGAAACAGTAGGAGAGAGCAGTAGAATCCGGAGGGCGAGGGGGTAAGGGCAATGCGCGTAAAGGGGTTGGCGGAAGGTTAATTGCCTCTTGTGGCGTCTCGGGGTTAAGCTAAGCTTCGTGGGGTTGGACGAGAATTCGGGAGCGAGAAGGATCCGGAAACGAGACAGCGAGATGGCGTCGGATCGCATCAAGGATAGCTATCTAGAGCGTACTGGGACCACGTAACCTCGATCCCCCTTCCGACTTAACCTTAGCCACGTCCCGACCATCCGTGTTGGTACGGTTAATTTACATCGCGATACGTGAGCTTATCAATCTGCTCCGACGTGCTCTGACCCCCGGCTGGAGAACAGGAATGACACTTACGCTTCGTCGCGGCAAACCTTGAAACTCAACAACTATTCCTCTATCGGTGCACAGGTTCCTAAAATTAACAGCCCCGGGGTACCAATTGCCTCCTCAGCCAACCACTTTTTAAATATCAGGATGCTCCGTTTGGATCTTGTCAAAGTCACGTGGCTTTGTTTACAGTCCTTCCAGTTAAATGGCTGACCTAGTTGATATTTCACATTTTAAATGTAGTCTCGTCAGAACGATCGTACGGAACAATGTACTTGGATAAACTTCGGGAGTATTTGCACGGAGGCAGGAATGTATAGGCATTATCTGTGCAACGTTCCGGGACTAGGAAAATTCAAAAGTTGCGGAAGTTGCCATTACGGCTAGAAACGAAGGTTTACGTTTGGAGGAAGTTATTTCGAGGTTTTCGGGAGCCACGGTGCCGCGCGAATCCGAGTTCAAATATACCCGTTGCCCAGGGAAGTTATAACGGAGAGTCGATCTTAACTTCGGAACATAGATCCAACGTGCAAACGTCGCCGCACAATGCACGGAGCGCAGAGACAGTACGTTCGAACGGATTACATTCCGCGGAGGATTGCTATTTAACATAACAAGCCTTACGGTCGAACTTGCCAGGAACTGGGTGCTTGGGAACTTTCGTGGGGGCTGAAATTTTACGCGCTGGGAAGAGGGTTCCCGTGGATGAAACTGCGAACGAGCAGTTGGGAGACAGGATCTATGACGGTGTAGAATCTATAGGGATGACTGGGTACGCGATACGTTGGATAAATTTAAATCGGTTAGCCGGGTTGCCTTGGGACTTTATCGATCACTCCGATACAATGACTCCGGAAGGGATCGGGTTAATTGAGAAACTTGAAGATCTGAATATGCCCCGCCAAGACAAACAGACAGAATCGGTGGGGGAAGGACAAGCGAAAGAGAAAGACGAAGACGAGCAAAGTGCGAGTCTCCGATTATCGTGAAACGTTTGCATTTCAGTTAACCGAAGTTCGGATCGTTCCTCCGTTCGACATTTGTCTACCATTGGCAAACACGCCGCGAACCGCCCAGGGTTCCCTCCCTCGATTCGAATGATCGATTTCTTGCTTTATCGTACACACTCTGGCCGGTAAATAACCGAACTGACGCTGGAAAGAATGAAATAATGGTCGGTGCGAGCACGGTATCTTTCTTTTTGCACTAAACCTAATAAATTTTTTGGAAAATCTTTGATAAATCTGTACAGAAGCTACTGCTCCAACTAAAGGAAATAGGAAACTGTCGAGCAAACGCTCGATTGTTTTTGGTAACAGATTTTTATATAAGGTACAATTCATTCAGTAAAAGAAAGAAACTATACTAGAAGATGGCTATTCAATTAATGTTACAATTTTACTTTTTCTTTAAGTATTCTGTAAGTGAACGTGGACTCCAATTTTTATGAATGAAAAAATCCAGAGAATCGCAAAATAGCCCGTCAGTTGCAAGAATCATGTACTTCTTTGATAAATTTGTCCCAAAGTATTTGCCCAAATCCAGGGTATCTCTCTCGATTCGAATGATCGACTTCTCGCCTTATCGAACATGGTAGATAATCTGACAAATGACCCGACTGCCGCTTTTAAAAATAAAACAATGGCCGCGTTGGTATAAATCTATTTTTCACTCGAAATATGTTACTTCTGCGTCGATACAACGTTGGAAGCGAACGAGTAACGAACACAACGATTATTAAACCAGTTGCTATCGAATCGAAGAAGTATTTTTGGTAGGAAATTTGTACGTAATTTAATTCTTTGTTTACCAAGCTTAAATTACAAAGTAACATGATCCTTTTTAAATACAATATATCGACGAAGTAAAGCGATCGAATGATTTAAGAGAGTATAAAGTATATATAAAGTAATGCATAAATGTGTCATATAATGAAATAGGAATAGCCAAAAGTAAAATAGTGTACAGTAACCATACTCTTTAAAATTATAGGGAAAACTTATACGAACAATTTCCTACCAAATGCAAAGGGCTACTAAAGTATTGCTACTAAAATGCCAATAACTTTGAAACGCGTAGTCCATTTTAGTTGAAATTTACTCAATGGATAGCTCGAACGTAACATCGCCGAAGAAAAATATTGATCAATAGCTGGCGCTTATGTAGTATGGGTTAAAGAAATTCAATTCGGTTATTTATCAGGCAACCTACGGTGTAGTCGTTCATAAATTCATCATCGCGCGCGTTGCATCCCGGCGAGCGCGCTTACCCGCTGGAACACAGACGCCAGATGGAATGACGGGGTAAAAACAGAGAGGTTGTTTCCGCAACAAACTTCTCCGGGGCGCGACAGTACTCTCGACGAGCACGATCGAAAAGTCGAGCGCGGAAAAATGTCACCGCACGCACTCGTTTATTGTGATCGAGCTGAAACGTCGACGCGCGCTTTCATTATCGGTTCTAATTGTCGTAGAAATTGCGGGGCTTTTCGCCAGTCTGCCCGACTAAACCGAATTTTGTTTTCGATTCGAACGGCACTGATTGGAAACATAGGCGCGAAAACTTCCGTGAGACCTGGAAAAAGTTCGGAAAGAAAGTAAGAATTTCGGTGATATCATTGAATTTGTTAAATTTGTTACACGAAGAGAAAAAGTGATAGCTAGATAGGAAAGTAGTTGTAAAATTTTTAAATTATGGACCTATGCTGATACGAGATTTAAAATTAATTCGGTAGTTGATAGATTTATGGATACAGTGTTTTTGATAAAATTAAGTATTTAGAGCCTCGAGGTACATTTCAAACGTATGAGTTTGGTAGAAAACATTGACTTTCGATCGATCGGAACGGCAACCCTGTTGATCAGCCACCCTTGTGTGCTGGGCGAGCAACGTACACACCTGGCTCCGCCTCCAGCCATCGGAGCACGTTTCATTCTCCTAGCGAATTCACGTGTCGCGAGACCAACGACGCTCCTCCCGTTTCGCTGCTACAATTCTATATATATAAATAATAACGCACATGTATACATCGATGATAAGATGCGAACGAAGGTGCCTATGCGTTATCAATAAGCGACGCTACTTTAAGATTTTATTTTACACTTACGAAATAATGCTAAGGATTTTTCGCTAACGCTGACGTAGTATATCCAATTTGCTTGTGGTGAGAGGGTAGAGTCAATTTTTATACACGTTCGAACGCTTTAATGTACGAACGACGGAATCGCGGGCCGCGATCGCGCACGCGCTGTTCGCCGCTCGCGATCATTTATAGAGATACGATCCTAGCGCGTATAACGAACACGTACGAGATGGTGCATGAAGAATTTCGTTCCCTGTCGCTTGAGTGAAAACGCTCCTCTGGGAATATCATAGTAATCGCGGTAGCAACGAATTATTCTACGACAGATCGTACGACAGAAATCGTTGAACGAATCGTAGGAAAAATCGTTACGTTCGCGGTTGTTATCGAGAACCGTGGTGGATGGCGAGAGCGTCCGAGATTCTCTCGCGCCATCTTGTAGAGAAGCATTTCATGTAGTTCTTAGAATCATACTCGAGCACTTTTCATCGACTTGATCTGAACGGACGTAGTCGGTGTAGCGGGCAGCGTTCGATCCAAGTCAATGGAAACTGCGTTGTTTCAACGACGATAAGGTCACTTATGAAGTAATTGTCCACTATTAACGCGTATACGACGGAAATAAAAACCGAACAAGCATATATCGTCATTTGATTACGTAATTAAGATTAAGTTAAACGGCGGCCTGCGAGCGAAGGAGGATGCGGGAGCCGCTTGCGAAACGATAATATTAGGCTCGAGGACGATCGCTCTCACGATGATACGCCGAGAAACCATCTCTTTATGTTACTTTGACGCTGTTCTCGACGCTTTCGCGCGCAAGAAGTTTGCTTTCCTCCCTTTCCTATGCGCTTCCTTCGTCGTCCTTCTTAATGAGTCTTATGCTCGTACCCTCGCCTTCTTTATCGCGAATGTTCACGAGTGTGCTGAGACGTCGGTGCTTGTCCTCGAGCCTGAGGTGCGCGCCTACTCCGTTGTAAGCTTGAGAAGCTCGAGTCTGTTCTGTACCCTGACAAGCGTACATATTTCTGCAGCTGTTTCCTCCCCACCTATCCCGCCCACCTTTCGCTTCTACGCTTTAATTTTCTCCTTCCTTTTTTTCTCTCGCATTCACGAGCGTTTATCTCACCCCCGGTTTGTTCTTCCCTTTTATCTTGACCAGCCAAACGATTCCGATTCACGATTACGCGAGTCACGTACAGAGCTTACCCGACGATCGAGCGTTTTTACATAACACGCGCACCAACCATAATGGCTTATTTATTTTTTACGTTTAATGTGTACCGCTCTTCAAGAATACTCGTACCTTGTCACGTTTATCATTTCCCCC